CCATCCTACCTCGACCTTGAACCTATCCATAATCCAAAATCAATTAACAACCTGAAAACATGATTAACTTAATTAATCAATTTTTTTACTAATTGCTCATTTAGTTAGAATTAATTCTAAAGTAAAAACTCTAGATGTGGCAAAGGATATACAAATGTGGTATGATATTGAGAATAGAAGTGAAGCATGAATAGTGAAAATGATTGTGATGCTCATATGTGATAACTTAATGTATGAAAATAAGTTTGCATTTGTATATGTGAAGATGTGAAATGTGTGAGCATAATTTATAGCATGTATTTTAGTGAGAGTTCACCTAGGAAGATAAGTAGATAAAATCCATATGGTAATAGCTGTCAATCATTGAAATTGAGGGGCAAGCCCTATCCTACTATTGGATGAGGGACTATCTCATTATTTATCAAGGAACTCAAACCTATCTAATTCTACGAGTTCGTTGAGGAGATTAGCCTAAGGTTTATAACACCCTAGGAATTTAAGAATTGGGAAAGCCATGGTTAAAAGTGAGTATAGTGATCTTTGGTTGAGTTACTCCTCACAATTAGTGAGTTGAGTAGTCCATTTAAACGGATGGAGCCTTAATTGAATTTATTGCCACAGTTTCAGTTAGAAGGTATAAGGAGGACAAAAGGATGGTTAGATCATGCAATTTTATCCAACTTGTTACATAGTTGTTAAGTTTGTAGCAAGTTGTGATATTTACTTTTGCTAATGTCATATGGTTGAGATTATTGTGGAAAATAATACTGGACTGCCTTGTATGTTGAGAAAGTTGTATGTTTTTTTTATTTGTACGCCTATTTTTATTGACAATTAATGAGAAATTATACGGGATAGATATATATTAGTTATTAAATAGTTGTACTCACTCCTCTCTCTTACCATTTTATAGGCTCTAGCTCGAGTGTGGATAAGGAAAAAGCTATAGAGGCTTAGAAATTTGATATTCATTCATCTTAAATTATTTTTGTGTAATCATTAAGATATTGCTAACTAGGAATGCATTTTGAGTATACTTGCACTATAGAAATTTTCATGTTTATTATTGTATTTTGGGCCCTAAAGTGTTTGTATGTAAATTTGATTATTTTTAATGGAGCTAAAATACTAGTGCAAGTGTAAGAAAATGTATGATATTTTTATAGTTAAAGCAATTTAAAATTATTAAGATGAACCTCCCCCATTGTTTTTAATATTGAGGGGTTAAGAGATGAAAATGAGATATTATTATTATTATGTGCATATGGTGTGTTGCACAGGTTGTCCTAAGTCCATTAGATAAGGTTTAGGTGTTAATTGGAGATTTAGCACATATGTTTGGGTTATGGACACCTTTGTATTGTGAAAAGTAAAGAAAATATGTTTAGGAATCCAACTCCTTTGTGTAAAATTTTTTTAAAGTGAAACTTATGCCATTAGTTATTTTATGTAAAATGTTTTTTGCAGATATTTAAATTATATTGATCGGATGTCAAACGAAGATATGAGGCATGTTAGAAGTTGTGCCTGAGTGTTATCAAATTTTGTGCAGAGCATCATAATGCATGGCACTTATGCCACAACATGTGACACAAAGAGGAACAAGCTGTGACGCACATGCACATGTTGAGTCCCTCAGTTTTCTCTTCCCTCTTGTTGTTTTCAACCTGTTTTGAAACTAGTTAACTATGAAATGGTATCCCCTACTTCTATACTCAATTTTACCTTGTTTTTGACTCACTAAAGTCATAGTTGAAATGTTTTGTAATGTTTAAACTTAGGGGCCCAATTGTGTAAATTTTGCAAATTAAATTTTGGAAAGTGGTTAACCATGGTTGGGTAATCCTCTTGAATTTTTTCTAATAATTACTAGTAACCTATGAGTTAAGTTGTTGGATTAATAAGAGTGACATTACATCTCCTGTTCTCATACACATCATTTAGCCCCAGTTTCATGATTTTGATGGTGATGATGAGTGGTCATGATTTTGACAACAGGGGCGATAAAGGGGAGTAAGGAAAGGTCTTGGTTTTGAAGATAATGGAAGAGGGAGTGAAGAAGGTCTAAACCCTAGGGGTTTTTCTATTCCCTAATGAATCTGTTGAAATCACAAAGCTTTATGCCTCTTGGAATGTTTTCTTCTTGCTCTCCCTCTTCACCTCAAGTGTTGCCTTATGAACAAACCTATTTTGGTTTTGTCGAAACCTAAACTACTCTAGCTCTATTCCTCCCCCTTTTCAGTGCCTCATTGTCATGGATTCCCTCGATGCTCAATTCTTCCATTCCTTACGTAGCAATCTTCCTAGTATAACTTTCAATATGGTGAGATTGGTTTTGGTCAATCTAACTTTGACTTTAGATTTGAATTTTCCCCCGCATTTCTTTCCCTTTAATTTTTACCTTTGATCTTAGGTCTCTATTTTCCTTCGAATATGCCTGGGCGAGGGAATTTGACTTAAGATCCATCCACATGAAGTTTCAACATTGGTAAGTGCTGATGAGATATGATTCTAGTTGATCAGAGAAGGTTTTAGTCATTGAATATTTTCTTTATTTCCATATTCTATCTAGATTATTAAGAGATGTATTTTTCAGTTGTTGTTAGATAAATCTCTCCTTGCAATCTTTTTATCAAGAATTAAGAATTATGTGCTTGATTGGTCTGGGATTTTTAAAAATAGGGTCAAGCATTTATTACTGTTTTGCAGATTCTTCCTACTCTTGGATTGAATATTGATGTCCTTAATTCCAGGATCATAATATATTTTTTGCTTTTTCTTTGGGTAAGGGTGTCTTGTGCCTTACATAATGATTTCACTTCTATTGCTTATTCAAGCTAAAGGTTTTTGGTTTGAATACATGCCTTGAACAAATTAATGCAAATGACTTGCTTCAAATTCAAAGACCAAAAATTGCCCTTCTCCTGGTATTTGTATACAATTTCTTTGTTTTGAAACACATATGTTTCTGCATTGTGTAGGGACATAGCTGTTTTGGAGTAGGTTTGGTATTTTCCAATACTCAGCGGGTGTTTCCAACTAATCTGTAGAATTGTTAGTCATTAAATTTACTAGTTGTGGCCAAGAAAAGATATTACTTTTCCCTTAATTATTCTTATTTTGTAAATATTTGTATCAATCCTTGTTTTTGTAGTTCTCAACATTAGGAATTAACCTTGTCATAAATCATGCGAGAAAGGAGTTTAGTTACTGTTTAATTCTTGCTGAGGGAAAAGTACTTGACAACTGAACTTCTTGCTATAATTTTGGATTGATTGCTTCATAATTTTCATTCAAAAACATGCTTTAGAGGGTTAGAAATTTAGTACAAGATTTTGCAACTAAAACTCCAGTCTTCTTGTATTAAGGCAAATGCAATATTTTGTCACTTGATTTATTGCATACTAAAAGTGCCTTCTTATATTTTGACATTGACTTTTGCAAATATTTGGCATAAAGCAAAATGGCATTTGGTTTGATTTTTGTGCTATCTAACTATTGGAGAACAAGGAAGCTAGGATGAATATATTAGGAATATAGTTAAAATAGGTCATTTGTAAATGTTCATGTCCATGAAATTGTTTTCCTTTATAAAGCATAAATGATTTTATGTATACATATTTCAGGATATAAAATTCCACTTTTTGTGACTCTAATTATATGAATTACATGATATGATAAATGAATAGTTTAATTCAATTTCTTTTTCAAGTGTTATTTTATTTATAAGCTTTACATGTAACAATAGAGATCATTGGTGTTTTTTGAAAAATTAAAATTTTTTTATAATTTTTATTTGTGCTTTCAATTATCAATTGGTGTTTTCGTTAAGGATAGTTGAATATAATGTGCATTGAATGTAAAAATTTGACACCAAGTTTTTTTTTCAAAAATATGCAAAAAGCATATTCAAATATATAAGATGCATTTCATGTAAAATTTTGACCATTAAGATTTTTTTTTTAGAATATGCATAAGTAATATTTGAATATATGAAATAAATTTGCATTTTGTTGAAAATTAGTCACATATCATTGAGAAAGGTTGCATATACGTCCAAAAAGTATCCATAAGGGAAATAGGTAAGGGATATTTGAATATGCATAAGTGATATTTAAATATATGGTAGAAAATTATATTTTGTTAAAGCTTAGTCACCTATCATTGAAGAAAGATTGCATATGCTTTCAAAGGCATTCATAAGGAAGCATTAATAAAGGATATTTGAATATGTATAAGTGATATTTAAATATATAAAAAAATTACACTTTATTAAAATCAATCATATATTATAAAAGAAAATTTGCATATGATTTATTAAAGAAGATTTGCATATCATGAAAAAAACATTGCATATGACATATTTGTGCTTCAAGGCTTAATAAATTGACACCAAAGGAGCTTGTTTGATAATTAACCTCAAAAGATTCTGTGTTACATATTAACATTTAATTTTTGATAATAAAGGACTAATAATCTATTAATAGCAAAAGATCTTATATAATATATTAACAATAAAAGACTTCGCTCAATTCTATTTTTTTAATCATTTAAATATTTATATCATTTAACCTTCATGAGGGAAATACTTAATTTCCAAAACATTTCCAAGTCTTTTTCAATAATTAGATTCTTAGTGGAGTTTTTTTTTTTCTATTTATTTTACGCAGATATGATAAAATAAAACTCCAAAAATTCCAATGGTAGTACCGTCTTCAAAGGCCAGAGCCCACAACGCTTTTGTCAGACCCATATTCCGATTCCTCCAAAGCTCGCTCTGAGACGATTTAATCTCACGACTGCAAGCTGGAGGATGCTCGGAGGGATTAAGCTGAATTTTCTAATCTACACACCAGCTACAGTTTGAAGTAAGGTAATCAAGAAAGCCGAGTTTTTTTATTTTTTTTCCTTTTCCATTTTCTGTCTCCATTCAAAATATTCTGGCATTTCTCTCCCTTTCCTTTCTGATGAAAATGAAGGAAAATAAAAGGGGGGCATATCGTACTAATATTTTCGGCGTACTTTAAGATTTAGAACAGTTGCTGAAATTATGATTTTGATTTGTACAAACAATTAATCTAAGTTGTCTCTGTCGGTTCTCGTTGGTTAGATCTTAGTCGACTTATGATGTTACTTCTGGATTTGTGGACAGTTCAAATTTGGCCTCTCTGCTTCCCGCATATTTTATTTAGCTCAATCGCTGGAAGCTATTTTAGTGTTTGTATTATATAGTTCGGATTTACTCATACCCTTTTGCAAAAGGAACTCAATTTATTCGTTAAATCTGAACCAGTATAGTTTATTATGTTCTTCTCGACATCAAGGACCAAGAAGCTGCACTTTTAGTCGATATGGTGGCCTCTATGCACTATGGTTCTATTCGAAACGTAGTTTTAGTATAGAATATGGAGGATTATCTACTTCAGTTCGAACAGGAAAAATCCCACCTTTCACTGATCATAATAGCAGAAAAGTCCATAGTTTAGAAGGTGATACATGGACTCAACTTTTAGTTACAGCAGCCAAGCCTTATGAAGCCAAAGAGAGGTAGAGACCAAAGAGAACACTCAATAAAGTTGTTGAAATAGGTCTTTTGATTGACAATATATCCAAAGACTTGGTTGTTAATGGAGTACAATAGTGTTGTTCAATCTATGTAGCTGATCCCACGTGTTTGTTGTTGTTGTTGTTGTATAGATGGAAAATGACTTGTTAAGCATCAATTTTTACATGCACTTTTGTATTGCACTCATTTATATAACCTTTTCGGAAGTCCTTGTTGAATTCCTAGTTGGATGGAGAATTTAGTTTCGATTAACTAGCTCACAGAACTTATCTTCCATTGACACTTGTCTCTTTTTTAAAGGTACTTTGCTTTAAGTGTCTTTATGGATTACCTCAACATTTTAATGCCATGAGCCCTATTTTGAATATTCTACTACAACTATTTCAACATTTATTATTATTTCTCACATCTCTCCACAATAGAATTCAAACTGCCATAGGCTTATCTAGAGACTTTATGGTGCAGCAAAAGTAAGTCACGTTACCAGAAAAACCAAGGTTCAGTAGTTTCATCATCTTTTGTAAAAGTTACTACTTCACTCCATCCCAAAATAATATGCAGATAAGATGCCTTTCTTTTAGCCAAAAGGTAAGGACAACTAAAATCTGTTTTAGGTTACTTCTCTTCTGACTGAGTTGATAATCAACTTCCTGTTGTACTATACTATTTATGTGAGTTGATGTATCTTTTAAATTTCAGCTTTTTTTTCTTTTTTAAATGAAGCATTGTCACGACTTTTGGAATATTGAAGGAGTAAATGGTTAAAAAAATGTACCAGAGCACTATTGCAATGGCTTGCAGAATATTGTGCAATTAAAGATAATTTTCTTTAGTTTAGTGCTTATGATTGTAATGACTGAAATTTTATTGTTTGGATGTTTCACCTCAAAATGCTTTTAGTTTTTGCTCTTGAAAGGTTGATTAATTGCAATTAATTGTTCATTTTATTTGGTTTGGGTGTTAGAGAAGTGTAGGGACTCCCACGTCAGCAGGTTAGATAGTTTCAACCGGTATAATATGCAAGAATTGTTGGTAAGAGGAAAATGATATGCTTAGAGAGGAGAACAATTCAAAACTTCTCAAATCTTCTCAACTTTATTTAAAAAGATACTAGGAAGAGGGAGATACTCAAAACACACTTATATAAAACTTCTCATGCAACAAACCCTACTCTTCGCCATACACAAAATACTTAACCTGTGATGTCTGACTCTTTCTGTCCCATACTCTCAACAGGTTGTCCAATGTAAGTGATGCAAAACACACACACTCACTCATGCTCACACTGATTTGAACAGAATAGGATAAGGGAAAAGAAACAGAAACAGAGACTTAGATGGGAGAGGGAAGCGAGAACAGAGAGACGGGAAAAAGAAGAGGAAGGACAGAACAAAGAGGGAGGAGGAACTGAGAGGAAGAGAACGCACAGGGGAGGGAAAGAGCTTACAGAATTTCTCAAATGAATTCATTCATCAAATCTACCTCCAAGTTACAAAAGCAATGTCTGTATATAAACTAGAGGTTTCCTCCCCTATAAGGAAACATCCACATTCAGCCCATTTAATACATGAAATGATAAAACAGCCCACTTGCTAAATAGAGTAAAAAACAAAAAGCATTAAAATATAAAATTAAGACAGATTTCCTCTTATAGCAAGCTTCTTCAAAATATATTAATTCCTATATTTCATCAGTAAGGAGGCTATATTAGAAAAACCAGCACGCATTTTTGTACAAATAACTAACTTCCCTTACTTTCTTAATCTATGTGAATTAGTTAACTAGCTTCTACATTTGGGACCGAAGGGAGTATTTTTCATAACCATTTAACTAACTACTATCTAATAGAGTTGCTAAAAGCATACTTGAGACACATATAAGCTAAATAAATGAATTCAACCCACATAAATTTACAGACAATACTAGACTTGGGAAATCTTACACATGCTATTAACTTTGACTAAAGCAGCATATATTTAAGATTACTTTCCCACAAGAATTTATTTTCTAAAACATCGCCATCCAGTATGATATGGAAGTTTTCTTTCTTTCATTAAATTTGCATATTGATTTTTTATTTTTTATTTTTTGTCTTTCAGAATACTTTTCTGGAAACATTTCAAATGGTTGACAGCAATACATCTTCTGGATCTCCTGAAGAAACTCAAAACCCTGTTGCAGATGGAAATGCGCCTTCTGAAAGTGATCTTGTGCCTGATACTCTCGCCCAAAAGGTTCAGGACTCTCTCTCTCTTGAGAAAAGACATAAATTTTGGGAAACTCAACCTGTCGGGCAGTTCAAGGATATAGGAAACAGCAGTTTGCCTGAAGGCCCTATTGAACCTCCAACTCCCTTATCGGATGTTAAACAAGAACCATATAACCTTCCTAACCTCTATGAATGGATTACTTGTGATATCAACTCTGAAGAGATGTGTAATGAGGTTTATAACCTTCTTGCTAATAATTATGTTGAAGATGATGAGAACATGTTCAGATTTAATTACTCAAAGGAGTTTCTGCACTGGGCTCTGCAACCTCCTGGTTATCTCAGGAGCTGGCATATTGGTGTCTGTGTTAAAAGTTCCAAAAAATTGGTTGCCTTCATCACAGGTGTTCCTGCTAGAATCCGAGTTCGTGATGAGGTTGTTAATATGGCAGAGATTAATTTTCTGTGTGTGCACAAGAAGCTTAGGTCGAAAAGGCTTGCTCCTGTCATGATCAAAGAGGTGACTAGAAGGGTGCACATGGAGAATATCTGGCAGGCGGCTTATACTGCTGGGGTGGTACTTCCTACACCAATAGCAACCTGCCAATACTGGCATAGGTCTTTAAATCCCAAGAAGTTAATTGATGTTGGATTCTCGCGGCTTGGTGCACGAATGACGATGAGTCGAACAATCAAGCTTTATAAGTTACCGGAGTCAACAGTCACCCCAGGATTCAGAAAGATGAAAATACATGATGTTCCTGCAGTTACGAGGCTCCTTAGGAACTACATAAGCCAGTTTGTTGTTGCACCTGATTTTGATGAAAACGATGTGGAGCATTGGCTTCTTCCAAAGGAGAATGTTGTCGATAGCTTTCTGGTTGAAAGTCCTGAAACTCATGAGATCACTGACTTCTGCAGCTTTTACACACTTCCTTCAACCATCCTTGGCAACCAAAACTATTCTATTTTGAAAGCAGCGTATTCCTATTATAATGTTTCAACAAAGACCCCTTTGCTTCAGCTCATGAATGATGCTCTCATTGTGGCAAAACAGAAGGACTACGATGTTTTCAATGCATTGGATGTCATGCAGAACGAATCCTTCTTAAAGGAATTGAAATTTGGACCAGGTGATGGGAAGCTTCACTACTATCTTTACAATTACAGAATAAGGCAGGCTCTGAATCCAGCGGAGCTTGGACTTGTGCTTTTGTAGTACGAGGTTTTGTCATTTTATTATGACTTGGATGGATGAAGAAGTCATGACAATTTTGCTGGACTTTTTATGGCTGCATAATATGTGGTGACCCATGGGTGGAACTTAGGTTTTGCTTTTGGAAACTGAAACAATTTTGCAGATTCCTGGTAGAGGAATTTGGCTTCAATGTAGAACTGGTTTGATTTAAAGAAATGCCGTTTGCTATTTGCAGTTTTTGGGCATGCTCTTGATTATGTCATTTAAGTTCAATTGAAGAAATCATGACTGTTTTATTACCAAAATTTCAGATTAACTAGCATGCAGCTGCTACAAAGCTTTGAGTTTTGCCTTTTTTTTTTTTTAAAGAAGTTTGTTATCATCACATGCTTTTGCATCAATTTTTACATTCTCCACTAGATGTGGTTCATACGTAACACATGATTATATTATGCATATCATACTATACCATGAAGCTAATAGATGCCTCAATTGATTAACCAAAAATGCTCATGCTGTTTACCAACACTTCTGTGCTGTTGTCAATATTTTTCTTAAAATATTGGGGGTTGACTTTTTGGACACAAGCTTCAGCTTTCTAATATTCTCTGTTTATTACTTTCTTTTATGGTTTTGCCATAGCCTTTATTCCTTAGTTAAGTCATATACAGTGCATCCAAAAAGAATAGTTTTACATTTTCAAAATGTGTCTGTAGTGTAACTAGTTATAAGTTATTGTAGATGTTGATTGTCGATAAGTGAAATTCATACAAGATCCCCCCTCCTTCCTTTTTCAATAGTAAGAATGATAAACAATGTTATGATGTTAAGAATGATAATTGATGTTAACAATGTTACGATGAAGATATTCTTGAATGTCGTGAATTTCATCAAACTGAAAATTACAAATCTAATAAAAAATATTAATAATTAAGTTAGAGTAGAAAGATAAACCTTACCTATTCGTGCCAACTTGGATTTTCATTTAAAATTTGGCTATTTTTGTTTTCATTTTTTAACCTGCCTTCACCAACTTAAATTGTTTAAGTAGAATTGAGAGTCAAGTCAATCTAATTAAAGTGATCCTTACTTAATTTAATTCTTTAAAAGCACTTCGAGATGTTTTTAAAATATTTATTTAATAAGACTATATATTCCAGAATACTGACTAGAAATCTAAGATAAATTAATTCAAATTTTTGACCAATTGAACTGATAACCCTCTCTGTTATTATAATTTTGATAAACCATGTTATAATAGCGTGCTCCTCATTTCCGTCTTCAGTAAAGATTCATAAATTGACGGTTGAGACAAGAGAGTTGCATAACGTGTGGTGGATAAAGCACCAAGCTCCTGTGGGCCCGTCCAGTTACACGATTCTAGTTTTCATAGGTTTTCGGAATTGCAAGGTGTCTCGCGCGCTCGCAAGTTAAAATTAATTTAACATGTCAATTATAGGATGAAATTCACTTTGAGAAAACTGCACAGTAAGAACCTATCAACCTCAAACAACCACTGCTTTGGAAAACTGCACCGTAAAAACTATCAACCTCAAGTAATGACCACTGCTTTTGATATTAACTATACAAGTATTGAAAATTTGAAATGTGCCATAACAGACCTTTTCAATCCCAAATAACCTTTTTTGGGATTTTTTTTTTTTGGGGGGGGGTATCAGACAGATCATTTCATGGGATCACAAAATTTACATAAATACCAAAATCAATGGAATTCCATCAAACGACCTTACATTTCCCTGTGAGCTAAGCAAAGAGGATGATTTCACCCCGTGAACCTGCAATAAACCCACAAGAAAAGCGGTTAATTCAATTTTAGGAATGATTAAAGAAATCACTGAGCAGATAAGGCTATATATCTGTAGTACTAATACATTGCTCATAAATCTCTTTCGCTAGCTTTAACATTGCATCGGCATCTTCAACCAACTTTGAGAATTTTTCCGCCTCCTTGACTGCTTCAGCAGCCCAATGTGATTTGTGCTCTGCTTCAGCAATTCTGTATGCCAAGATCTCCGCAGCATCCATTTCTGTCTCCTGAGATGCTGTAAATCCAGAGGCTGGTGGTTGAAGTGACTTAGAATCGTTTTGCTTTGGTACAGGTGGTTTTGTCTCCACGGGCGTCGCTCTCTTCATCTTGTAACAGTTTTGTACCTGCATGGGAGGGCAGATTTGAGAAATCCAAAACATAAATAACCATGAAATTGAAATCTAACTTAATATCAGAGTAACCAAAACATTTGAATATTTCGTTTCTATTCTTTTTATAAGGGCATATGTGAATAGTCTTTGAGCAAAGGGAGGATGTAGCCTGCTGGAAGCAGTAAAACACTTCAGGCTTGAATCTCAGAACCAATTGACCATGTCACTGTGCGGTGCACGTATAATATTAGGAAGGTTAAAAACACAAACAAGTGACCACAAACAATTTATCTTCAAAGAGGACTTCTCATCTGAGATTAAAGAAAACTTCCTATCATTTGCAGTCCCCAATCCAATGTATAAGATGTAATTTATTTGCATTTATTCTTTACTGGAATAACAATGAAGCTATTAGGTCCACGATCCAGAGTGTACATATATAAACTCCCATGACATGTATCAGAAGTACCATTACTCCCAATCAAGAACTCAAGCAAATAAAATTCATAGTTCTCAAACGGCTTATTATCTAAAAACCCCCATTTAAATTGAGTACTCCCACTCAGATAGAGTATCCCTAGTCAAGTAATTTACAAACACACACATATACAATCAAGTGCATGCTCAGTACCATTAACAAAAATAGAGAACGACCTTAATAAATAAAATTATCATCTCCAAATGGTTCATACAACCAAGTTCAATGAAAAAAGAAACGGTAAAACAATAAACTAACATGTATTTCTTAGAATTGATGTTTACAGGAGTAGTGGACACAAATGTTTCATTTCCTTAAATTTCGTGGGAAATTTTGAATCATAGCTTGGATTTGATGACTCAATCTCTTGTCCTTTTGATGGCTTTCAGAGGGCTCTTCAAAAGTTCAAATGCCTCCCTTTCTCCCATGTTCCATGACCGAAATGTCTTGCACTTCTCATATTTGGAAAGTGAGACATCAGAATTGTCTTTCTCCAATTCACCATAATGATGCGCATCTAGGAGTTGTAATTCATCCATAAATTGAGATAGTGTCATTTCTGCATCTACTTTAATGTTCTATTTAATATGTTCCCAAAACTTATCACTAGGGAGAGCGTTGAGTAGAGCATCCACCCACATCTCTTCAGGAAACAATACCTTCTAACGTCTAAGCTTCTACAAAGTACAATTACTTCAGCAACGACGTACCTTAGAGGTTGGGCATGATTATTATATTCTTCATAAAAATTTCTAATGCAAGTTTTCAATTCGTCTTCTGTTTGAACTCTTTCATATTCTTCTTCACTTGAATCTGACTCATAAGATTCCTCTATAAGAAAGCCATTCTTTCCTAAATCATGAGATTCCTTAGCCTAGGTGAAACGTAATTCAATGGTCTTTTGTTGATAGATTCGTTTCCCTTGGAGTTAAGAGTTTTCTTGACTCATGTTCAACTAGAAAAGAAATGAATGTCATTCGTAGGGTTTTAGCATTTTCAGGTACTAAATATTTGAAAATTTAGCCATGAAAATTCATAAAACATCACCAATCATATCCCCAAAACTAGCAAATAGTATATCAAATAAAGCTCATGAATTTAGGAACTTTTAGGATCAAACCGTGCCCCAGAATGAGCTTCCACAGACCTTAACACATCCCAAGAAGCTCTCTAGATTAAAGAGCCCGCTTTCAAATTATTGAAAAGGTGTGTTTTGATTAATAAAACATGTCGTCTGGAGATGGAGGAAACGACATGTTTTAGCTGTCCCTAACCTCCAGTTGGGTCATTTTTACCTATTTCTCAGATCCATCGGGTCCCCACAACCCAGATCCTTCTTACGTCATTTTCTCACTCTACAGAGGTCCAAATTGAGTGATTTTAACATCATTTCGTTCCTGGAGAGTTCCTCCACCCATCCATGATCCCTTTTGTACGTGAAAACCGTGCATTAAAAGAATCCAAATTCATGCCCAGAGAAACTTCGGGTGTGAGTTCATCTTCAGCTTTCTGGCACATTTTTTAATGTTTTGGTTTCCAGATGTTCATGGGATCTTTGTGTCCTTGAGTTCTGAATGGTCCAGTAATCACATTCCATGAAGCTTCAAAATTTCAGTTTCAACAATGCTCATGTCTGATCATACGAGCACTGTCCAGTCCCATTTTTCACTGAGTTTCTCATTCCTAAACATTCCAGGGGTCACGTAGTTCACATTTATAGTTTCCATTCACTTTAGGAACTTCATTTTCACAAAGCGCACATTAACTTTTTTCTTATTTGTTATAAATTCTAGAGTTTAAGCTTCCCTATTTTTCAGGCAGTCCACTGGTTCCATGTAATTCCAATACACAAGGGAAAAACGCATACATGAAAGGCAACATAAAAAGAAAGAAAGAGAACTTACAAATCACATAACCGTGAAAGGTAAGAAAACAAGAGCAAGCACAGGTTTCACAGCAGAAGCAAAAACAACAGATAAAATCCAACAGTAGTAATTAAACTAAACAAGAGGATCATATGGTTAAGCGGCAGTCAATTTTCCCTCTCTGGTATTCAAGTGAGTTGAGTGCTATCAATTTATGGCTATGTAGGATTAATAAGAAAGGAGAGCTATGAAAGCAGATGGTGCAAGTAAGCTAAGGTGACAAGTGATATTCATTCAAATTTAAGATTCTCATGAATAAGTTTATGAGGAGGCTAAACTGATGGAAAGATCAAGGTCTACAATGAGGTAAATGAGTTCCGCAAAGCACTCTGGGGTGCAACATTCTGGGAAAGCATACTGTGAGAGCTTTTATTGCTCTGGCCTGCAACTACTACATAAACAAGTGCTTCGATTGCTATTAACACAGAACTTACAATTAGCTTAATTCCTTTGAAAGCTTTTCAAGATTAGCAATTTCACTACGTCACTGACCATGGCAAAGGGGCATCATTTAAAGTACAGAGGCATGGCAAATCAAACTGGACAACAACTAAACAGAATAATGGAAAAGCAAATAGGCTACCAAACAGAGGATTGAGTATTGAATATCATTCAGCTCCTAAAAAAAATTAAAGGTTTCAAGAAATTGAAAGCCCTGAAAAATGGAAAAACTAAGAAAGGGGACATGATGCAGGGGAGGGATGATACAGAAAGGGGGGCAGACTTCACTAGAAGAACATCCCCAACCCAAAAGTAAATGTCAAAGCCATTAAACTCCCCCTCCCAATCCCCCACCAAAAAAGAAGTCAGAGGTCTCTAGGACATGTATTCTTCAAAAATTAATTTCCCATGAATTCAAGGGAGTCTCAGATTTTGGGGTCTATACTCTTATCCCACTAATTTTCTCGTGCAGACCAAGCACACCCATATTAACATGGCAGCATAGGAATAGAAGTCAGGTAAACTTAAGAGAAAGAATCATATCCATTTTCCAACCAAAGCAATGCTTTCAGATACCAAATAGCCAAAACCCAAACTTCCCTGCTTCTCAAAACTCAATAGCTCTCCTGATATCTCTCTTTCATTCCCAACCCAAACAAAAGTCTCTAAAAATCTTACATGCAACCCACTAGAATCATTACTAAACATAAGAAGTAAAGAAGGTTACTTGACAAGAAAGATTCAAAATCACCAACAAAATGCCTGAGAGTCTTTTCATGGAGTAACAATGGCAATATTTTTCCTAACTTCTATGTAAGAGAATTAAAACATAGCAGAAACTCAACATTTAAATCCACATGCCACATATCTAAAGAAAATAATTTCAATGAAAATACATTTGTCTATATCATATTTATTTCCACAATAAGTCAACATCAAAGAGGATATTTTACCTTTTCAAGTTTTCCTTGATCAACAAGTTTCCTCAACCTTGCACCTACTGCTCGTCTGAAATTTTGAGGAACCTCATGCTTTTGCTGCAGCAATATACATGATCATCATCCTTTGTGAATTTCAGCATAGAACAACTCAGCAGTCAGCACATAAAGAAACTCTAAACACAATCAATAAACCATGTTCTATTGAATTTCCAGACCACCCTCCAAAAACCTGAACCCCCTCCCCTCCCTCCAGAAAAGGCCGAGACAGCTGAAAAGGAAAAGAGATGAGGGGGCTTGCAAAGTAAGTAGTTTTAACAAACTCAACTGTTTGACTAAATGCAAGTCATAACAACTTCAACAACAGACACTAAGATGACAGCACTGTTTCATTCTTCAAATTTAGAAGTAGGGTAAATTTAATTTTATTTTTGAGCAAAAAACTGTTGCATAGGAACTAAGCATATATTTTGAAAGATCAATGAAATATTATTTGCTCAGGTTCAACATAGCATCTCAGAGAAATCATTTAAGTTGACGAATAGATATAAATACCAGTCTATGTGGCACATGTTTTTGCAAGACAGCACTCATGATGAAAACAAGAAAACCCAATATTCATCCAGATTTCAACTCAAGGTTTTTTTAGCAAACTTATGGATGAGATTAAAAACCGACTAAACGATCATATGATGATTGTATATTTCTACTTAAGCTTTAATCTTTACCATCTTAAAATAATCTAAGAACTATAATAAAAATTACAGCCTTGACTTAGGATTTGCCTAATGCAACAGAAAACAAAATTAGAACTCCATCTGACCTCAATGAAGCTAACAATAGCATTTAAGTCAGATCCATTGGAATCACTTATCATTGATAGGGCTTCAAAAATCATTGCATTGTACCTGTTAAAGAACACAGAGTACACAAAACCCCAAATGAAATGTGATATAGTCCTAATTAAACTGTTAGGTATTAAATAAGAAGTAATGCATATTTTATTGAAGACACTATAAAATTTATGCCATAACAACTAGAGATTATGTAAAGAGTGCTTGAAATTATGGTGCATAAGTATTCCTGCAACATGATATAATACTCCAAGGTGGTAATAGATATTTCCATCACATACCATATTTGTTCAGATGCAAACAACCAAGCTTGCAAATATGTTAGGAACATACAAATGAAAACAAAATACATAAATTTATTCAACATATCTTAATCTCAATTCTAACCGTCAATGCAGTAGAGTCTGAGACATTTCTAAATTCTATATGACAAAATGCTGTCTTTACAAATAGACAGGTGTATCTGCGTGATGCTGAATTCTATGTTTTCTATGTAAAAGAAAGAAAGAAAGCCACTTCTAAGGTAACATTTTGCCATTTATAATCCTATCCTGTATAAATAGAATGGGTGGTAAATGAATGATGGCCACATAGGATTAACACATATTCAAATAAACTGGCTCGGTCAGATGATTAGAATTTCAAAGTTGGAAGTTCAGTTCGGTTCAGTCAGTGGGCCGCTTACTGTGGAGCATGTTTGACATCCTGTGCATTGTGAGAAGAATCATCTGTGGCGGCATCAGAAGGTGCACATTGACGGAGTGGAGGAGCAACAGAAGCATTTTGCGTGCCCGCAAGTGTAGAAGCTTCCGTAGTTTTAATCTTTGGATTCCTAGCTTTTTCTTTAGATCCTTGAGCTGCAGTACTGACACTTAAATTTCGCCATTTATCCTGGTAAGTGTGCCAGAATGAGAAGAGAAAAGAGGACAATAAAAGAAGATTTCTCATGATACAAAAGTCTCAGAGTAAGTTCAAATTTGTCAAACTCAGAAAATAAAGACAACACCGGCTTCTGTAAATCATGCGTAGATGCACTCGGTTCATATTTCATCCGTCGACACAAAATTGAAATCCAAATGTAAATACATCAAAATAGAAAACAATCCCTGAAATCAATTAACAATTTCACCCTACACAACAACTAAAGAACAATAATTTTTTGTTTAAAAAAAACCCTTAAACACCCGCCATCGTAAAGATTGACGAGAAAAGCAAGAGAAATAGGATGAAAAAAGAGGAACCTTCAGATCGATGTTGGAACGGTGAGTGAGAAACGGGGCAAATTCAGGATCTTTGAGAATATTCTTCCACTTCCCGGGGCCATGCTTCCCAATGCCAGCGAGCAAAGCTTCTTCTTCCTCCGCGGTCCACTTATGCTTTTGATTTCCCATTTAATTTACCAATCTACACTCTTCTCCCGTCGCCGGCGTTTTCAAGATTGCGTTTCACCCCAGAAGCAGAAAGCCGGCAACAACTGTTCCTGGCACCAGCATGCTGCGTTTTATGGGAGAGAGTGAAAATTGTATCATAGATGATTATTTTTCTTTTTGCCCGAATAAATTGATAATCTGGAATATTGTTTTTAAGCAATATTATAGGCATTAATAATTAATTTACAGTTTATAAAATATATTAGTTAAAATTTTATTTTTTTAAAAAATACATCTTTTCTATTTTACTCTCATTAAATACTTTACATAAGTGTTTTGATTGTAATAATTAAAATTTTAATATATCTCTTTTTAAAAAAGTAAAAAATAAAATAACATTATAATTAAAAAAAATTATAAAATTATTCAATATTATGTATATTGAATTAAGTAAAATTTTAAAAGATATCAGTATTTAATTAATATAGTTACAAAACAATATTTATTACTTAATACAATATTATTGTATTATATTAATTTATACATGAAAGTGTTCTTATAAAGCTTTGACTATTTATAATATTTTAATTTAATTTCTTAATTTCATATGGTATTTTTAATTGTCTAACCTAACATTGTTAATACTAAATGATAATTTTTATATTAATATTAAAAAATTAAATGTAATATATTAATATATTTGATAATACTTTGTTAATATTTAAAATTTTAAATTTATTTTTTAATGAAATGGACAATGTTAAAATTAAATGATTGAAAAAATATTTTAAAATTTAAAAAATCAAATGAATTTTACTTGAAGTTAAAGAATTAAATACGCACTTTTATTTATTATAAAAAAAATGCACTTTTACTAAATTTATATCATGGATAATAAATTTTTTAATCTTTAAAGTTATCTCAATTATCTACTTGGATCATAAAATTTAATCTTTATTAATTAAATTCTTAAAGTTTTATAATCATATATAATTAATCTTCATCTTCTATTTCTTGGTCCTTTTTGTTGTCAAGAGTATTCTTGTCCTTTTAATTTTATTTGCATTCTTTTCAAAAATAGAGACTATTTATTTATATAAACATTAGCCCCCAACAAATGTCCCGATTGGAGAACAATTGAACCCAATATAAAAACAATAACATAACATAAACATTGCAGTTAAAAAAAAAAAAAAAAGTCCCTGGGAAAGTAAATATAAGATGACGTAATATGTATAATTTACTGTTGGCGACGTCACATGCATAATTTTACTATCTTGAATTCTTGATGGAGATCCAATCGCGTAAAATGCATCACATGCATGGACAAAGGAGCGCCGTCCCGAAGCGGAAGTTAAAGGTACCTAGTAGGCATTATTGTCGTACTTCAAATTAATTCTATATATTTTAACTTATAAAATTATATTAATTTATTTATAAATTTAAATTAAATAAAATTTAATTAAACTATAAATTAAATTTTTAATTTATCATTTTTACTTTTTTAATTTATAAAATTATATCAATCCTCTCATAAATTCATTGAGTAAGATAAATATATACTGTATAAAATTTAATTCATATAAACAGTAAGATTTAGTTTAACTAAAAAAAATAAAAAACTAATATTAATAAAAAAATAAAAAATATCAAGAATAACTTGCCCCTTTTAAATTTTTATATTAAGTATAATAGTCAATGAATGTAAATAGATTTAATTTTAATTATTTATATTTAAAATATATTTAAATTAAATTATGATGATATTTTATATTTTAATTATTTAATTATATATTTTTAAATATTATTTATTAATAGAAATAAATTCTTATAAACTTATGATTTGAGTTTATGTTTTAAATTTACATTTTTATTATTAATTTATTTAAACTTGCAAATTTAATAACTTTGTTAACAGGTATAGAAAAGAGAAGAAGACGCTCACGAAGTGAAGGCTAAAAAGCCAACAAACAACAACTGCCCACACCGATATCCCAAAGACATCATTGCTTCACAACATGGTAAAACAAAAAAAAAAAAAATTACTGCAAGGGCCATTATTTAAAAACCTGTGGAACAGAGCAACTAATAGAACAACAGAAAAATATGAAGAGTAGCCTAGTGAGAAAAAGAGGACTGTGACGCTACGTACCCATTCCACAATCCTCTGTGATCAACGTAGTCATGGAACAGCTAGGCAAGCTTTTTCGGAAAAGCTCACAAAACCCAACTCTAGTCCGAAGTCTGAGGCATCTGGAAGGTTTATTTCATCCCGTTGATCAGCTAAAGCGCCTATGAGTGTTGTCAGTAGCTCCAAAACCATTGGCGGAAGTAAAGGATCCAAGCACACTAGACCCATTGAGAGATGGTCTGTTAAAATCAAAAGCACAAGGTAACCGTGGTAGAAATTAACTTTTTACGAGGCCCTGTGAAACCAACTCTTGCGAGCAAAAAGTTCGAGAGAGAGAAGCTCTAATTAACCAGGGTTGGAAATAAAAGTCTTGAGCCTTAAAATGCCAACAGCTCCTGTCATAAGCAAACCACCAACCATAGTCAAGAAAGATCACAGCAGTGGCGGCACCTCGGCAATCAGACTTAATCAACTGCGCAGAGAAATGATGAAACACCTTCATTAAGCTTCTTCTCGGGCCAAATTTTTGACTCATGATCGTCAGAGCTCACTGAAAATTCACTCTGCTTCCTTTTAGTCGTGGCATAACCAGAACATGCCAGCGAAGAGACTACATGCAAGTGTCCATGTGAATATTCAGCTTCAGGAGCTGAAGATCTAAATGAGGTCATTTACGAACCTTTAGTTGAAGTGGGTTAAGAAGAAAGCCGAATTCCTTGAGAACCCTTTAAAAAATAATTAGGCCCAATCGAATAAAAGGCTACGGACGTAAAGTAGCCCTAGAATGAGACCGGTATGTCCTTCCGACCCAAACGCTGGTAAACTGACTTCGAACAACCCGGAGAGAGATAACGGACATGCAAGCATGGCTAGCGAACGCGATGGGCATGTTCAAGGAAAACAGAGACAAGAAAACCTCCAGATGCGATGGAAGAGTAGAAAGACTAGACAAAAACCTTAAAATGAAGACCAACGTTGGAAGAAACAGACGACTTGTCGAAGAAAACAAAGGAACCCAGTTTGTTTCCAATTAAGGAAGTAACAGATTCAGAGTAAAAAGCCAGAGGGAGCCCTTAAACACGACACCAGACATTAGAGGAAGGGAAAGAATCCAAAGAAAAAGCAAAAGACTCAAACCACAAAAAAGCCGAAAGAAAAAAAACCTTGTAATAACCATATACCTTTATCTAAGACAAAGTTAAGATCAGAAACAAAACTAAAAAACACAACAAAGAAAGGACTTTGACTCCGAACCACTCTAACAGATCCACGGAGACGCCAATAAAAGCTTGGAGCTTGGAGGCATGAAGAGTACACGAATCTAGAAGCTTAAAAAAAAAAAAAAAGATAGTGACGATGGCAAAAGGAAATATGATGAGGAGAGGGTGCAGCAAGAGACATATTGAAACAAAAAACCAAAACACTTAAAAAAAAAAAACAAAGAAGATCGCCACAAGAACGAGAACAGAAACGAAATAAACTAAAGAAAAGAGGAAAACACCATAAAGCAGAAGGAACTACTGCCAAAGAAACCAGAGAAACCACAAGAGAGAAAAGGTCTCTCCTCCTCAAACCAATTTAGTTAACACTATCAGCTGCGCACAGTTCGAGGAACTAGAGTTTGATCAGTTTTATTTGTATTCAATAAAATAAATATAAAACTTAATTTTGTTCCCACATTTTAAATATTATCCCAAACAGATTCGAGACAATCAACCTCGCTTATTCAATTCTTTATCATTACTTTTCATTCTATTCTTAGAATCTTTTTCCATTTTTAAATTAATTTGGTAAATTGACATGCAGTTAACCATAACCATGTCCTCAGTGTTAGAGGCTTAAAGCATCGGTAAGATTGGGCCAACATAAGGGCCACCGAGCCAGAGGCCTAGTTTCTTCCAAAAGTCAGGCCCGAGTACTGCACAATTCAACACAATCTATATTATCTGGTGAAGGTTTTTTTATGTCCCATGGACGCATGAGTTTAAATCTCATTGTTAATATAAAGATTTTGTCAATGAGTAATTTATAAGTATGTTGTGTTGATGAGTGCAATTTGGTTTCTTTATTTTATATTTCAATGAGATATTTGAAAGATAATACTTAAAACAAATGGATCTTTTTAATTTTAAAAAGTGAAGAAAAGTACACTTGATAACTCCGAATTTGAAAAGATTGATGTAGTCATAGAGTGATAGAGAATAGTTGTTTAATTAATTCTTAATTTTCTAGCTCTTTCTTCTACTCTTTGTGTTTTTTTTTTTTGAATTTTCAGTCTCGTCCCAATCAGTTAATGCGAGTAGGTAGAAATCAGTTAATTAATGCACACTAAATTTGTTACCTAATGACTTAAACAATGTTTTATTTATAATATAAGGAAGACATAACCGTTAGAGACTTCAAACTGATCGTTTAGAGTCGTTGCATTGTGTGTAAGTAGTTTCTGTCAAAAAGCACTTTACCTGTGAAATTTATTTAAGTCACGTTTACTTATTAGAATGAAATAGAATGAATTGAAAAAATAAAGATAAAAATAAAATAATCAAGGGAGATAGGTGAGCATATTTATAAGGGGGAGTAATTTAATTTATGAAGTTGAGAATTATAATTCATGAGATTTTTGAAGGGTTGTGATGATTTTCACATTTATAGTATATATTAATGAGTTTTATTATGTTATTATGAAAATCAGGGTGATTTAGTTTATTTTTGTTTTTATTTTTTTAATCAATTTCATTCCATTTCATTCTAATAACCAAACGTAACCTTAATGTATGTATAGCTCTACTTCTCATGTGAAGAGTTCATTCTTGTGTGAATAAGAGGCAGTAGAAAGGCTTGTGTAAAGTTTAGTCTACTTCTTGAGTAGATGCAATCTAGTTATTGTGTGAATGAGGCAAGCAAAAGTACAAGCTTCTCTAGACAACTAGTTCATGCGATAGCTCACTCTTCTTGTTGTGAGGATTGGACGATAGAGGTGAAAGACCTTTCTGTTTACTAG